GCTAACAATAAAATAGAACAATTATAACACCATACTGCAACAAAAGCTATGTGAATGTGGTCTCTGTCTCTCACGGTATCTTACTGCACTGTACCTACCTATCTTGGGATTGCAGTTGACTATGGGTAACTGAAAGCAAAACTGTGGATAAGTTGGGGGTGGTGACTAGAACTATTTTGAGGTCTGAGATTCTGCTCAGCAAAAATTTCATCCATCATCATCATCATTAGATTTTTCTCCTTATTTTAATGAAAGACCTATTTCCAGCTTGAAGTGAAATCCAATGCTTCCCACCCCTCTCCTTCTCCTTCTCCTCCTCTTCCTATCTTCCTCCTCCTCCCCCTCCTTGTCTTCTTCTTCCTCCTCCTCCTCCCCCTTCTCCCCTTCCTCCTTTTGCTGGCCCTGCCCTGCTTGTCATGCCTTTTGCTTTTCCTTGGCCATCATAGTTAGAATTGGGTTTTCACTCTCCCAGCCCTGGCAATGTGGCCCTGGCACAGGCAGGCACAATCCTGGCAGTGAGGTCAGAGGGTGGAGGCAGGGCCAGGCTCTGCACAGGGCAGGTGCCCCTCTCCTCTTGACAGCTTATGGTGCTATGTTGGATCCTGAAGGTTTAGAACAAGCATCGGGACTGGGAAGCTCACCTCCTGGGCTGGGACCCTGACAGCTGCCTGGGCAGTCAAGGCCCAGAGTCTTGCTCTCCCTCCCTGCTCAGTTTTCCATCTGTGAAATGGGGCGGAGACCCAGCAGCAGCCTAATCCATTTTCCAGGAGGCTCGGGCACTGAAAACAGCAGATGTAGGTTTGAACCCTGGCTCTGCCATGTGACCTGCAGAGTCCTGGGTCTTACTATTCCTAGGGTGACAGTGAGCCCTGAACGAGGTGACGTCTGAAAGAGCTTTGTTACCTGTAGTGGACTTCCCTCCATCGGGGTCCCTCTCACCCACTCCCAAAGCTCATGCTTGGAGGGGGCCTTGTGTACTCACAGCCCAAGGGGGGATCTGACTTCACCCAAGAAATGAGGAAACCCCCAAAAAGCCCACGTGGCCACTCCTCGCTCGGAACATGCGCGTCCGAGCACAGCACCGTCTGAGGGCAGAACTTCTAGGCCGGCCAGGTCAGGAAGACAAAGCCCAGAGTTGGGGTCCTTGTCCCCCTGCCTCCGTGACCCACACTGGCCCAGCCCGTCCCTGGGCTTGTTTTCCTCCTGGCTGCCATTATGATACCTTTTATGAGCCTCGTTAAGTCTTTAATGATGCCTGGTTGTACAGCTGGCTTAAGGCTTAATCCCCAGCAATAGGCCTTATTGGATAAATGGTTAATAATCACTCGTCTGCAGGGATTGGGAAGGCTTCGTTGAGGCCTATGATTCCTGGAAGCCCCACGTGGCCTGTGATGTGGTGAGAGCGTGACTTGGCTGGGGCAGCACTGCTAGGGGCTGGGTTGCAGTAAGACCGGGCACCCTCAGAGCACCACAGAATTGGGAAGGCCTGAGTTTGTAAAAGGGCCTTTCTTCCATGTCCTGGTAATGGAGGACTCCTGTCTGCTGCCATGGGCCTGTCCCCATCTGGATCAAGGTGCAGGCAGGACCAGGCAGCCCTGCAGATCTCTTCAAATGTGTCTCCACCCACTGAAAGCTTTGCTTCCCTTTCTTGCACCATGAACACACTGTATGACCTTGAGCAGGTCTCCTGACCCCGCTGGCGCCTTGGTTTGCTCATCTACCAAATGGAGAGGTGGGAAGAGATGGCTGTGAAGGTGCCAAGTGCCTGATTCTGTGAGCCCAGCATCGCAGACAGAAGCTCTTCTCTCTAGCTCTGGGGTGTGTCACTGAGGGCTGTGAATGGCAGGGACCAGCAGCCCAGCGGATTAAGTACTTAAACTGCTGGACAAAGAATTGGGTCAGCTGTAGTCACAGGGCAGTGTGTGCAAAGGGAATCCGCAGAGCCAGATTTGACCCTGATTTTATAACCAGGTTTGGGGTTTCTGCCAGCTCTGGGCAGGACACAGAGTAGGCATTAAAAAACAAAGCCTGGTTGACGGGACTCTGGAAAAAGAAGTAGAGTCCTTCAGGTGTAGAGCTGGCAAGAAGCCAGGAATGTTCACAGGTGAAAAAGAAAGGATCCTTGGATTTTGTTTCCAGCCCACCTGTGACTGGGGGCCATGCCTTTCATCAGGATTTGGCTTTGACTTTACAGTTGCAATGGGATCAGGACCCATCTACTTGAGGGACAGGCTGGTGTTGGGGCAGGGGAATCGAACAGACCCAGTTTTTGTTTTTGTTTTTGTTTTTGTTTTTGTTTTTGTTTTGAGATGGAGTCTCGCTTTGTCGCCCAGGCTGCAGTGCAGTGGCGTGATCTCAGCTCACTACAAGCTCTGCCTCCTGGGTTCATGCCATTCTCCTGCCTCAGCCTCCTGAGCAGCTGGGACTACAGGCGCCCGCCACCACACCCGGCTGATTTTTGTATTTTTAGTAGTTCACCATGTTAGGGTTTTCGCCGTGTTAGCCAGGATGATCTTGATCTCCTGACTTCTTGATCCGCCCACCTCGGCCTCCCAAAGTGCTGGGATTACAGTTGTGAGCCACCATGCACAGCCCAGACCCAGTTTTCAATCTCATCCCATCCCTCACTCATTTCTAGGCTGTCTAATCTTGGACCACCTACTCTTCCAAGCCTGAGATTCTTTAAGCTAGCATTAGCAACACCTATTTTTCAGTATGACTGTGTGGGTTGGAAGTGATATATGTATAGCACCTGGTAGCCTGCTCACTTAGTGCCAATAATTATTCCGGGAGGTACTTAATGCTATGGCACCTGTTGTATTCTTTGCACTGCTGGCGTAAAATACTTCCTGTAGAGAGAGACCAGACTTACTGTGGATAACATGGTTTGGGATTATTTTATCTGAAAATAAAATACAGAGTCCAAACAGAGTCACATCAACCTTTAAACTCAGTGGCACTGCCCCCAAACTTTCAGCTTCAGGATTAGAATCAGAGTCTGACTGAGGGACAATTTCCTATGTTGCCCCAGAATATTCTCCCGTGGCTCCCGCCTTATATACCCCACAGCCTCCCAAGTGCAAAGCACAGTCCCTGGCCTACGGCATGCACCCAGTATGCCACACGGATGTGCAAAGAAGGAATGGAATTTCTCTTTTCAAATATCTACATGACCAGGCACCTGCTCTGCTTTTCTTTCAGATCTTCCCAGACCCGTCAGACTTTGACCGCTGCTGCAAACTGAAGGACCGCCTCCCCTCCATAGTGGTGGAACCCACAGAAGGGGAGGTGGAGAGCGGGGAGCTCCGGTGGCCCCCTGAGGAGTTCCTGGTCCAGGAGGATGAGCAAGACAACTGCGAAGAGACAGCGAAAGAAAATAAAGAGCAGTAGAGTCCCTGTGGACTCCCATGGGTCATACCAGCCAGCATCTGTTCCTGAACTGTGTTTTTCCCATCGTGACGGAAGAAGAGAGTGAGCCACAATCGTTCTGAAAATGTCAAACGAGGCTTCTGTTTTGCAGCTGCAGATCACCGAGTTGGTTTTCTTTTCTTTTCTTGTCCTTTTTTTTTTTTTTTTTTTTTTTTTTAACTTTCCGAGCAGTGGAGCCCTCTGACAATTTGCAAGGCCCTCTGAGAAAGGAAGCTGCTTAGAGCCAGGGGGTTAGGGGGTGGGGGGAGCGAGGGCTGTTTTTGAGATCATTATCTGAACTAAGGCAGCCTAGTAGAGGCAGTGGTGGGATTCCAATGGGTCTTGGTGGGTGGGAGGTGGGGCATGTGCAAAGCAAGCAAGGAACATTTGGGGTAAGAAAACAAACACAAGGCAAAAGAAAAAAATACATGTTTTTAAGAAAACATTGAGCAGAGAACTGCAGCCAGGATGCACTCAGCAGACATTCACTGTGGCTGCTGGTGCATCAGAAAACAAGGTCTTCATCTCTCCAGTTTCACCCACCCCACCCTTTGCTTTCATTTCAGGTGTGTTGGTCTATGACAGGGAGGAGAGGAAAGGAGAGCAGGAGCAATTGGCTGCCTGCAAAGCCAGCTGGAGGTGATGTGCAGGAAAGGCAAGGTCACCCCATTCTTCTCCATGGCCTGTCTGCTCCCAGCTGTGGTAGACTCACATAGCCAAGGTGATCGGTTTTTAAGAGGCAGTGCTTTTCAGCTTTTCTCCCTGATATATCCATTTTGCTTCCCAGCACTTTTTAGGAGTAGTGAGAGCACTTCCTGCCCTTGTTGGAAGCCCCAGGGTGGACACTTGGCATGAAGGTCTCTCCCTCAACTGCTGCCCTCCCAAGACTTGCTCCCAAGGTGGAATGGGTGTGCTCTCCCAGGCCGGCCCTTCCTCCTCCTCACCGCCACCTTCCCTGCCCCAGCCACAGCAGCCATGGGTACATGGGTCCCCAGCTCAGCTGCGGATTCCCGCCAGTCTGCCCAGCTGCAATACTCACACCCATGGGGGCTCTCGGTCTGTTTTTCTTGTGGTTGCCAAGTGGAGAGCAGACGTGGCTTTTTCTGTGTCTCGTTGGGGAGGTGACTTGCATGGTGGGGACAAGGGATCGTGGCAGCCTTGGGATCGAGTTTGAAACTAAAGGATGCCATGAGGTCCCTGGCTTCTCCCCATGTTGTTCCCGGACAAGGGCAGAAGGGAGGCATGGCAAGGGACCTACACTGTCCTTACTCAACAGTGGTCCTCATCCCTCCCCACCTCCCACTGCTTCCTGCAAGGGCACCAGTTGTATGAGAAAGTTGGCCTTTGGACTTAGCATTTCTTGTCGTAGCTAAGAGCCATCTGAAGCAGCAGGTTGCAGGACAAACGCTTCAGTCCACCCGGGAGCAGTACCATGTGACCAAGAGGTGGACTCAGAGCCTTCCTTGAGCTAAACTCGGCCAACCAAGGCACGCAGCTTGTCCCCTCAGGTCTCCAGTCAGTCCAGGTTGACCCTCAGTTCTGGACACGTGTATATAGCTGTATTTAATACCTCAAGGTCATTGTGGCTCTGGGGATGCCGGGGCAGGAGGACGAGGGTGTGCTGTGGACACAGCAGTCCGCGGGATTCCGTTCTGGGAAGCCGATGGTCCCGGCACCCCCTGCTTCCTCCCTCTGTTGTCTGCCTGTGTGACACACATCAATGGCAATAACTTCTTCCAACTCCTCGCAGAAGTGGGAGAGGCCTGCAGCCTGCACCGAGAGGGGCTTTCCTCTCTCTTGCTCCCCGCTTCGTTCTGTTTTGGCTGCAGAGAGTGGTTCATCCATACTCTCATTCCCTCGCCTCCCCTAGTGGACGGAGGCGGGGGTCTTGCCTTTTCAATTCCTGTGTTTTGGTGTCTTCCCTTATCTGCTCCCCTGAATCACCTGTCCCGGTCTTGCTGTGTGATGGGAACGTGCTTGTAAACTGCGTAACAAATCTACTTTGTGTATGTGTCTGTTTATGGGGGTGGTTTATTCTTTTTGCTGGTCCCTAGACCACTTTGTATGACCGTTTGCAGTCTGAGCAGGCCAGGGGCTGACAGCTAATGTCAGGACCCTCAGCGGTGGAGCCTGCTGGGGGGACCCAGCTGCTCTTGGACAAGTGGCTGAGCTCCTATCTGGCCTCCTCTTTTTTTTTTTCCCCCCCAAGTAATTTGTGTGTATTTCTAACTGATTGTATTGAAAAAATTCTTAGTATTTCAGTAAAAATGCCTGTTGTGAGATGAACCTCCTGTAACTTCTATCTGTTCTTTTTTGAGGCTCAGGGAGAAACTAGCATTTTTTTTTTTTTTCCAAACTACTTTTTGTCACTGTGACAGTTGTAAATAAAGTTTGAAAATGCTTTCCACTCTGGTCTGGTTTCCTTTTTCCCTTCCTGTTCCGTTGGAACGGAGTGAGCTCAGGAGCAAGATGAAGTCCTGCAGAAGGCCAAGTTGAGGGAGTCCCAAGAGAGGCTCCTTATGTAGTTCACCTGATGGCTTGTCCGGGGAAAATTCACTGGGGGGATTTAACCCACAGCCAAGGTGTAAACTGCCCTTCTAAAGGAAGAAAAACCCAAGACATATCAGAAGGTCATTCACAGAGCCTGGAGGGTGAGTGGGTGGGCATGTGGCAAGCGCAGGCTATCATATACAGCATTTACCAAGCACCTACTGCTTGGCAGGCATTGGTAAGAGGTCAAGGTCACAAATGGCAATGGCCCTGGCTCTCATGGCACTGCCTTAGTGAAAAATTAAATGACAAATATGGTGCATGCAAGGCAGGATCAAACTGGAATGCCCCGAGAGTGAACATCAGTTGGGAAGGTCAGGAAGGTCTTTGGAAGCAGTGACAAGGAGAAGTTAACCAGGTACTAGGTGGCAGGGAGCAGAGGGGAGTTGGGGGCATTGGAAAAGGATTCCAACAGGGAGAACAGCTTGGCAAGGGATTGGCAGATGGGGTGGGGTGGTGGAAGAGGAAAGCATGCAAGAGGGCTACTCAGTCCTGGCTGAGAGTTTAGATTTCATTCTAAGGGGAGGACCTAGCATGGTCCGCTTTACATTTTAATACCACCTGGCTCGATGGAGATGGGATAAGAGGGGGCAAGATGAAAAGCCTAGAGACCAGGAAGGAGGCTTTGTGGAGGTCAGAGTGAGAGAATGGTGGTTTATAGAAGGGATTTGGGGGCATTTTTCTAACCCAAGGCCCTTTTTGACTTCACCCAGCCGTATTCTGAGTTCCTTAACCTTGGTAAGTATAGAAAATCCAGTGGTTTGTACTGAAGGTGTCTGCCGGGATTTACAGAATAATGACCCAATTTAACATTAGCCTTAGTGAAACAACTAGATCAACGGATCTGCTGCCCCAAGGATAACTGGCAGGACTTTACCCTCCTCATATGGATTGCCCCTTTATTTTTCTCCAGCAGTCTGAAGATGGAATTTATTAGAATGCAGGCTCCTTGAACACACCCCTGCAGAAAACTGTCTTTATTTGCAGATGACATCATCTATGTAGGAAATCCTATGAAATCTACACAAAAAAGCTACTAGAACTAATAAATTTGGGTTTAGCATGGTTGCAGGATCAAAGTTCAATATTCAAAAATTGACTGCATTTCTATATATTGGTAACAACGACAAAAAAACCCAAACACTGCATGTTCTCACTCCTAAGCGGGAGCTGAACAATGAGAACACAGGGACACAGGGAGGGGAACATCACACACTGGGGCCTGTCGGGGGGTGGTGGGCAAGGAGAGGGAGAGCATTAGGACAAATACCTAATGCATGCAGGGCTTGAAACCTAGATGATGGGCTGCAGGTGCAGCAAACCACCATGGCACATGTACACCTATGTAACAAACCACATTCTGCACGTGTATCCCAGGACTTGATAACAGAACATCGACATTTAAAATGCAATTTACATTAGCATCAAAAATATAAACTATTTAGGAGTAACTCTGATGCAAGATATGCAAAACCTCCAAAACGATGAAAACTACAAAACACTGCTGAGAGAAATCGAAGAATCCCTACGTAAATGAAAGCACTACCATGTTCATAGATCTGAAGACTCAATGTTAAAATGTCAGTTCTCTCCAAACTGATCTATAGACTTAACACAATTGAAACCTCAGCAAGCTGTTTTGTAGACAGATGATCTGATTCTGAAACTCATATGGAGATGGAAAGAACCCAGACTAGCCAAAACAACTTTGAAAAAGGAAAATGAAGTTGGAGGACTCTCAGTTCTCAGTTTCAAAAACTTAATACAAAACTACAGTCATCAAAACAGTGTGGTGTTGGCATCAAGGTTGACAAATAGATCCGTGGAACAGAGTAGAGTCCAGAAATAGACCCACAGATGTGTGGTTGACAGATTTTTCACAAAGGTGCCAAGGCAGCTCAGTGGAGGAAGGGAAGTCTTTTCAACAAATGGTGCTGGAACAATTGGATATCCATAGGAAAATAGCCCTGGTGATGCAAGATGAGTCTTCACTTCTGTCTGCCACTGTCTCCATGTGACTTTTAAACAAAATAATTATTTGTTTGGAAAAAAGTTTCATCATTCTTTTTCATGGTTAGCAGTTGCTTCAATACCCTCCTGCTTCACCCCAAGTTGCCTCCTTTTCCCTGAAGGAGAAGGATTGGGTGGCACCTGGCTGACTTTGCTGTGTTACTCGAGTTGTCTTGCATTTGAGTCCTGTGCAGCCCCTCCATAGGTGCTGTGGGGCCATTTTCTTAATGTCTAGGATCCTCAGTGTTCTTGTCTGTAAAATGGAGATAAGACTAATAACTCCTGCATAGGGGTGTGCAGATTGAGCACCCCGTAGTCACAAGTCAGGATGTTTTCTCTCTTTTGAGGGTCTAGTGGCTAAGGAACTAACCTCTGCCTTCTCTCTCCTGCTTTTTGCTTTGGGTCCTTTGTGGACACCAGATACAAACGGAGCTTCAAAGTGAAGACAAGATTCAGCTCCTTCAGTCTGCCTCCTTTTTTTCATCACCTTGAGAGGGGAAAGGCAAGGAGAAGAGAACTGTAATGCCTCTGCCCACCAAAGATTGGAGAGGAAAGGGAGGAAGGTCTCTCATCAGGGTGGGTCTATAGCTCTGCCTGACTCCTCTTTAAAGAGAGGATCCTTGGGCAGAAAGTTGTTTGAAATGACAGTTGAGCTTCGAGTCAATTGGGAAGAGATTCCAGGTGAGGGGACAGCAAGTGCAAAGGCCCTGGCGTAGAGATTGTCTCCATCTTTTTGAGGAATGTCTATGAAGCTAGAATGTCTGGAGTAGAGAAAAAGAGAAAGATGAGAGCAAACACCACAGAGCAGTGCCTCATGGGTCCTCATGAAGGTGGGTTTCAGAATCACTGGTGCCCATTGTGAGAAGCCTTCAGGGAAGGACGCAGGCTCACCAGGCATCCCAGCCCCTGAAATCCACTGGTCAGCCCACTTAAAGTTGCCCAACTGGTGGCCTATGGCAGTCGATGTTGATGGACCTGAGGCACTGTCATATCCGGAAAGGTCTTCTGGATCATCAGAGGAGGATTAAATTAGGTAGAATTGCCGGGCACGGTGGCTCAAGCCTGTAATCCCAGCACTTTGGGAGGCCGAGACGGGCAGATCACGAGGTCAGGAGATTGAGACCATCCTGGCAAACACGGTGAAACCCCGTCTCTACTAAAAGTACAATAAAAAACTAGCCAGGTGAGGTGGCGGGCGCCTGTAGTCCCAGCTACTCGGGAGGCTGAGGCAGGAGAATGGCATAAACCCGGGAGGCGGAGCTTGCGGTGAGCTGAGATCCGGCCACTGCACTCCAGCCTGGGCAACAGAGCAAGACTCCGTCTCAAAAAAAAAAAAAAAAATTAGGTAGAATTCAGTTTGTACATCTGTCCTTAAATTACTGAAGGGTGGTTGTTGCTAAGAGCATTGGCTCTGAGATCAGACCCCTGGATCTGTAGCTCAGCCCTTCCTCTTACTAGTTGTGTGACCTTGAGCAAGTTGCTTTTCTTCTGTATGCCTCACTTTCCTCATTTGTAAAACAAGTACCTAACTCATAGGGTTGTGGTGACACCTAAATGCATATTACAAGTAACATGCTTGGAACTTTGCTAGACACATAGAAAGTGCTCAAGAAATGTTAGCCATTGTGAGGCCGGGCACAATGGCTCATGCCTCTAATCCCAGCACTTTGGGAGACCGAGCCGGGTGGATCACCTGAGGTTGGGAGTTCGAGACAAGCCCAACCAACATGGAGAAACCCCATCTACTAAAAGTACAAAATTAGCCAGGCGTGGTGGTGCATACCTGTAATCCCAGCTACTTGGGAGGCTGAAGCAGGAGAATCACTTGAACCCAGAAGGCGGAGGTTGCGGTGAGCTGAGAGCCTGCCATTGCGCTCCAGCCTGGGCAACAAGAATGAAACTCCATCTCAAAAAAAAAAAGAAAAGAAAAGAAAAAGAAATGTTACCCATTGTGGTAGACAGAATAATGTCTTCCACCCCCACAGATGTCCATGTCCTAATCTGAGGAACTGTGAATATGTAATGTTAATTGTCAAAGGGGAATGAAGGTTGCTAATCAGCTGACCTTGGCTTAGGGAGCTCCTGGATTATCTTCGAGCCCAATGTAATCACAAAGGTGCCCATAATGAAAAAGGGAGGCAGGAGAGTGAGTCAGAGAGATGTCAAGATGAAATGCTGTTGGTTTTGAAGACAGAGAAAGAGGCTGCCAGTCAAGGAATGCAGGCACCTCTAGAAGCAGGAAAGGGCAAGGCCATGATTCTCCCTGGAGCCTCCAGAGGAATGGAGCCCTGCCAACACTTTGATTTTATCCTAGTGACAACTATTTTGGACTTCTGACCTCCAGAACTGTAAGATAATAAATTTGTTGTAAACCACAAGGTTTTTGTGGTTTATTTGCTAACAGCTACAATAGGAAACAAATTCAGCCTTTATCATCATAACCGTGATAATGATGATGATAGACTTTTTCCGCATGGCCTCAGAGAACAGGGATGAGTGAATGAATGGAAGGGGTTGCAGGCAGGCTGAGGCCACCATCCAGCAGTTGGAGCCCACACCTTCCCATAAGGCTCAGTCTTCTCTCGGTGCCACTAGCTAGAGGTATCTGTCAGACGGAGGGGACCGTGACTGACCTAGGACTAGATAAATTTGAGGCTATAGATCCTTTATTTTAGAATTTCAAAAATTAGTGATTTGTGTGTGATATGAACATCAGTATAGTCTTGGAACCAGAATATTCATTAGACTACTCCCTTCTGTCTGTTTACCTGGATAGAAGGTCCTACTTTGACATGCAATTCATTTGCAGTATTTCCTTTGCCGTTTTCAGTCAGAAAACTGTGAATT